GACCTCAGGTGATCCACCCACCTCAGCTTCCCAGAGTGCTGGGATTACAGGCGTGAGCCACCATGCCCAGCCTAGGGTAGCTTTGAACATGCATTCCTAATACACAGAGGTAGGAAAGTTGAACACTGTATTTCCCAACCTCCCTTGCAGCTAGGGTTTCAGATATGATTGGTCCAGTCAGTCAGATTCACTCACTTGAGACTTTTACTCAGAGCCAAGTTACCTGGGGGCAGAGGCAGGAAGAGATGTGTCTATTTTCGCTGGCATAAAGCAGGGCAGAGGTGGTGTGGCTCTGGAACTGGCAACTGTTCACAGCTTCCTAGTCTGGCAGGCAGCTTCCTAATCCAGCAGGTGGCTTCTTGATTGTTCTAAAAGCAGCAGCTCCTTTGGCAGCCCACTTTTCTGATGTAGTTCCTAGCAGCTCAGCCTAGGTCTGTTTCTTCAGCCCTCCCATAGATTGTGTCCTACCTATACTTCTTCATCAATCCCCTTCTGTTTAATAGCTAAAGATTTCATTGCCTATAGCCAAGAATCTTGATCTATACAGAATTTGGTAGCTAGAAGTAAGGCGCAGCAAGTCAAAGGCCCTAAATCTGGGGTTGGCTTAGTTGAGGAGGTAGGGCTTTGGGCAGTGAGACTTCTTGCCAACAGAGGTCAAGATGAGGTTGAGACTTCCTGCCACAGAGATGAAGGTGGTAGAACTTCAGAGTGCTAGCATGTGTTGGCAGCTTCTTGCCTCTTTTCAGCAAAGCCCTACAAGAGAATTGTGACTTCAGCAAAGCCCTACAAGAGAAATGTGACTTTAGCAAAGCCATGCAAGATAAATGTGACATGGGCTAAGGTTAACAAGTCTGCAGTGATGCAAGGGAAAGTAGGTTTGTTGAGAGAATTGCTCTTTATCTGTCATATAAATTGACCAAGTCCCAAATCTGAAGCCCTGAAGAATTGAAAAAGTCTGTACTCCAAACTGAAACATTTATAAGTAAAGGCTCTGAGGGAGCTGCTAAAACTTTCTCAACCTTTTTCAAGAAGCTTCCCTTACGAATTTTCTGCCAAATAATGGAAGAGACCAGATTAAGACTGTTGCCATCCCATCCAAGCCTACAGTCTCAAAGGATCGCAAGGAGGTACCAATACTGTAAGAACAAAGGGGATGGAGAGCGCACAGAGGTCAGCAAGTAAATGATGAAGTTCGTTGTTAAAAACAGTGCCTTTTAGCTTTGTTAAAGCTGTTCATGAAAATGATTGAAGACAACAGTCCAAAAACTTACTAAAGTTTTAGGAATCCACTTGGCCAAGAAACAGAACAAAACAGTAACAAAAACCGAAACCTGGCCTGCAACAGCCTGTAGCTGTTACTGATCTATACTCTAATTCCCAAGCCTGCCCCCAGACTCACAATTATAGGAAGTAAACTGCTAAGGCTGCCCAGCTCCAAGAAGACTATACTTTCCAATGCCCATTCAGATTGTATCTGAAAATTAATGTACAGTAAAAACCTCCCAGAAAGCAAAACCAAGGCCCCGAGGACATTAGATAAAGAATTCCTCTTAGAAAGGTGAATCAGGGGTTGCCTGATGGGCAAACCAAGGAATATATTCATGGACTATAGCAGAGAGATTTATTCATTTTTGGCAAGTGGTACTTTCAAATTTCTATGGATCAGTGACTGCTGTATTTCTAATTCTCACCTTTTCTAAAAGGTCAATTTTAGAATGCCTGGGCATGGTGGCTCATGCCAATAATCCCAGTGCTTTGGGAGGCTGAGGCAAGAAGATTGCTTGAGACCAGGAGTTTAAGACCAGCCTGAGCAACACAGCAAGACTCCATCTCTACAAAAAAAAAAAAAAAAAGTTTAAATTAGCCAGGTGTTCGTGGCATGTGCCTGTAGTCCTAGCTACTAGGAAGACTGAGGTGGAAGGATCAATTGAGCCCAGGAGTTCAAGGCTGTAGTGAGCTATGATGGCACCACTGTACTCTAGACTGGATAACAGAGTGAGACCCTGTCTCTAAAAAATTAAAAAGGTCAGTTTTCCTGCACCTTTGCATTATGCATCTGGTGCTCCTAGGGCAGAAAACTTGTCTTTTAGTTTGTAGGTGGCCAGAACACAAGGAGCCACACCCTAACATGATGGGGGGGACTGTCCCCAGATAGCGTGGTCTTTCATCTAAGATGCAATAATGGGCTGGATTTCTGGTGGTTTCTCTCAGGGGAGAAAGGAGTGAGTGTTTTCTATCTCAGAAGAAGAACATACACAGAAATTTAGGTAGCCAACAAGGCTGACTGAGGTTAAAATTGAAAGCTGTCTACCTATCAGTGTAATACTCTTCCCTTCTTCCTTAGTAAAAGAATCCAACTTTTAGCTGGTCACATTGCCACATGGACTTCTCAGCCTCCCTAGCAGCTAGGTGTGGCCATCAGTGTGACCCAATTCTGGCAGAGACATAAGTTCATGTGCTGCTGGTTCTGGAAAATGGCCTCAGGGAAGCTAATTCAAGCAGAGAAAGTCCAATTTCTTGCCTTCCCCACTCCCTCCAGGAGCAAACTTGAACAGTGAGAGTGAGGTAACCTGAGGATAAAAATCATGCACTGAGGATAGAGCAGAAAGATAGGAACTTGGACACCACCTACTTCTAGACTTCTTTTATGTAAGAAAAAAAAACTCCTATTTAGTTTTCTGTTATCTTTGGTTTTTCTGTTGTATATAATAGAACCTAATCTCAAATGATAAAGTATAGAGCAAAATAAAAAAGAATGAAAAATGACCTAAAGTGATAACAAAGGTTACTCAGGTGAAGAATTTCTAGCAGTTGAGGTTGCCAAAAGTAGAAAAAGGTTACCAGGAAACACAGGGAAATGCTATGGACTTTTCATAATCGTTAATATCAAAGAGCCATTTATTAAAAGAAGGAATGATAAGCACCCATAAAGAATATCTATGTTTATGAGTAAGTGAGAGCAATCTAATTTAAAAGCAGTAGGCAGAGTTTTCTCACTTAAATAGTTCCTAATAGTTACACTAACTTATGGCATAAAGTCACTTAATTAAATCACTAAAGGAGAACAGAAGAAATGGAAGAGCTGTGTGAGAGTGAGAGCAGAGAGTTTATAGTGAGTTTGTGTTCTTCCTGGTTGTGATAGACTTCAATCCTTTAATATCTGTGTCCAAGAAAAAGTGTTCTTATTTAAAAAGTATTTTCCTTTATTCCAAATATGCTTTTAAAATATTTATTGAGCAGAGAAAAAGGAAGGGAGCTAAAAAGATGAAATAGATGTTGAGTTAACAGCTTTCTTCCAAGTTCTGGCGGACTTCAGACTTTAAATGTCTGTTGGGAAAAAAAAATATGTTCTTATTTTAAAAGTATCTTCCTTTATTCTGAATGTTCTTTCATATACAGATACATTTGTTTTTAAAAATATGCTTAGCTAATCATAGATTACAGTTTTTAAAAACATGTTCTCTGGTAAGATTAATATAATTAGAAAGAATAACAAATAATGTTGAAACAAATCAATTAACCATTAATACAGTTATCAAATTATATAAATGATATGGCTGGGCACAGTGCCTCATGCCTGTAATCCCAGCACTTTGGGAGGCCAAGGTAGGCATTCTGGACCAGCCTGACTAACATGGTGAAACCCGATCTCTACTAAAAATACAAAAATTAGCCAGCCACAGTGGTGGGCACCTGTAATACAAGCTACTCAGGAGGCTGAGGCAGAAGAATCTCTTGAACCCAGAAGGCGGAGGTTGCAGTGAGCCAAGATTGCACCATTGCACACCAGCCTGGGCAACAAGAGCGAAACTCTGTCTCAAAAAAAAAAAAAAAAATATATATATATATACACACACACACACACACACATATCCTACATATATAAATGATATAGCACTTAAAATTTGCTGCTACATAAAACTTCTGGAGGCATTTTCATTTTTCTGTTATCTAAATTGCTCTAATACTACAAAAAATACACAAAAAATAACATATCATCTTAATGATTTGAAATTATATTTGTAATAAATGTGGGCTTCAATTGATAACGATAATTTATTTTCCTAAATAGCTAATCAAACAAAATTACATACGTGGCTCAAACTTCAATTCTCCAGCTGGCCCTGATGGAGGAATTCCTTGTTGTAATTTTTTTTGTTCCATCTGCTGTATGACCTGGTGAATGGAAAAAGAAAAGGTATAATTTGATTTTCTATCATATGTGTGACCTTCGACAAAGCACAACATAGTAACTGAAAATTGTTTTCTAAAACAAAGATATGCAAATTATAAACTTTTGATTCGACCAGGTGCAATGGCTCATGCCGATAGTCCCAGCACTTTCAGAGGCTGAGGTTGGAGGATCACCTGAGGCCAGAAGTTAGATACCAGCCTGGGCAACACAGTGAGACCTGGTCTGTACAAAAAAATATTAACATTAGCCAGGCACACTGACATGCACCTGTAGTCCTAGCTACTGGGGAGGCTGAGGTGGGAGGATCACTTGAGCACAGGAGTTTGAGGCTGCAGTGAGCTATGATCATACCACTATACTCCAGCCTGGGAGACAGGCTATCTCAAAATAAAGTAAAATAAAATAAAATTTAGATTAATATTCCACAAAACAGTTTTAAAGTACTAAAATTTAAAATACTATAGCTTCACTACAATGAAATATGTTACAAAAACACAGGCTTTTAACAAAGCCCCTGAAATCTTTTTTAATGCCATAATCTTTTGACAAAATGCCACCTGATGATATTCCAGCTTCTGAGCCTCCAGCTGATCATGCTGACGCTGTAGCTCTTCTTTTTGTTTCTGAAGCTCATCTGCCTTCTTCTTAAGTTCATTTTCTTGTAAAGCAATAATATTTTCATATTCTTTTAGCTCTTCCTCTGTGAAGAACTGTTGCTGATCTAATGTCTAAAAGAAAAAAAATAAAAAAAGAATAATCTTAAAACTACAACAATAAAGTCTTATTTACCTTTAGAATCCTATAGTTAGCAAAGTATAAAAGAGTATTTACAGGATTATGCCTTTGGGGTAAGAAGAAAGGGGAAATAAGTAATATATATTTATGTACTCATTTGAGCAAACGGAAAAACAGGAAGAGAAACTCAGAGATTCTCTTCTAGGAATAGTAACTAAAAGCAAAGAGTGAGAATTGGGCAGAAGTGACAAAGAGAACGTGGGAAAAGAGATAACATTTGTTATTCCCCCCAACTCTTACTGAAACACAAATTTTAACAGCTGTCTGCACACAGAAAAGCACAAGAAGCAAACACCAGGTAAGCACTCATAGTACCTGGTTTCAACTTCCTATCACTGACAAAGGCATTGACAGTCTTGAATCACCTATGCCACCTCTCTCCCATCCCCTCGCAGCAGACATGCAGCACGGAGAGTCTGTGCACTTTGGGGAAGGAGCATAGTGACGGGGGGACTTTACATTGAACTCAGTGCTGCCCTGTCACAGCAGAGAATAAAGCTGTGCTGGGCTTCACCAGTGCCCACGATGGAGGGAGCATTTGAACTATCACCCATCCCAGCAGTGGATACTGAATTTCCTAGCAACCCTCACCATGTGGGCTAAATGCTCTGGGGTCCTAGGTAAATTTGAAAGGCAGTCTAGGAAAGGAGGCCTATAATTCCTAGGCAACTCCTAGTGCTAGGCTGGACTTAGAGCCAGTAAACTAGAGTAACAGGTGACCAGGGGAGACACCAGCTGGTGAGGCTAAGGGAAAGCTTGTGCTGCCCCTCCCTGAACCTCAGGTGGTGCAGCTTGTAGCTATGAAAGTGACTCCTTTCTTGAGGAAAGGAGAGCAAAAAGAGGGCTTTGTCTTACATCCTGGCTACCAGCTAAGCCACAGTAGGATAAGGCACCAGGCAGAGTTGTGAGACCCCGATTCCAGGCCCTAGCTTCCAGATGACATTTCCAGACATACCCTAACCCAAAAGGAAAACTGCTGCCTTAAGGAGGCAGTCCTGGCAGCCTTCATCACTTGCTGAGTAAAGAGCCCTTGGGTCCTGAATAACCAGTGTCGAGACCCAGGGAGTATGCTCTGGGTCTTGGACTCTGAGACATGCTGGCTTTGGGGTGACCCAGCATATCCCAGCTGTAGTGGCTATGGTGAAAGTCCCCTGTTTGAGGAAAGCTGAGGGAAAGTAAAGGCAATTTTGTCTTGCACATTAGTTACGAGCTCGGCCATGGTAGGGTAGAACAACAAGCAGGCTTTTGGGGTCTCCAAGTCCAGGCCTTGGCTCTTAGCATTGCTGGACTCGCCTTGGGCCAGAGGGGAGCCCATTTCCCTGAAGGGTGAGTCCCAGGCCTGGCAGCATTTACCACAAGGCGACAGAAAAGCACTTGGGCTTTCGGCAAATATCAGCAGTGGCTGGGAGAAGCACATGTGGACCAGAGGTGGTGGTGGTGATGGCCACAGGGAGAGGGTTCTCTGCCTGTGGAAAGGGGAGTGAAGAGCAGGAAGGCCTTTGTATTGTGGTTTGAGTGCCAGCTTAGCCACAGTAAAACAGAACATCAGGTAAATCGCTAGGATTTTTATTAGAATCCCTGGCTTCCAGACAGCATCTCTGGACACACCCAGGGTCTGGGGGAACTCATCACCATGAAGGAAAGGGCCTCGGGCAAGGCCCAGTGCCATGATGGCTTCAGGACTGACCCAGCACAGTTCCAGTGCTGATGGCCACAGGGGTACTTGCATCAAAACACCTCCAGTTCCAGCTGGCTCAGCACAGAGAGAGAGAGAGAGACTTCATTTGTTTGGAAGAAAGTAAGAGAAAAGAGCAAGAGTCTCTGCCTTGTAACCTAGAGAATTCTTCTGGATCTTATCCAAGACCACAAAGATGGTACTTCTATGAGTCTGCAAAAATCACAGAATTACTGGACTTGGGGCCTAAATCCCGTGGAATATCTGGAAAGCTTTTTGAAGGACATGCACAAACAAGCCCAGATTGCAAAGATTACAATAACTATCTAACTCTTCAATGCCCAGACACGGACGAACATCTGCACACATCACCACCACCCAGGAAAACATGACCTCATCAAATGAATTAAATAAGGTACCAGGTTCCAATCCTGGGGAATCAGAGATATATGACCTTTCAGATACAGAATTCAAAACAGCTGTGTTGAGGAAACTCAAAGAAATTCAAGATAACAACACAGAGAAGGAATTCAGAATTCTATCAGATAAATTTAACAAAGAGATCAAAAGAATTACAAAGAATCAAGCAGAACTAGAGTTAAAAAAATGCAATGAACATGCTGAAGAATGTATCAGGGTCTCTTAATAGCAGAACTGATCAAACAGAACAAAGAATTACTGAGCTTGAAGACAGGCTACTTGAAAATACAGTTAGAGGACTCAAAAGGAAAGAGAATGAAAAACAATGAAAGCACGCCTACAAGATCTAGAAAATAGCTTCAAAAGGGCAAATCTAAGAGTTTTATTGACCTAAAAGAGGAGGCAGAGAAAGAGATAAGGGTAGAAAGTTTATTCAAAGGGATAATATCAGAAATATTTCAACATTCAAGTGCAAGAAAGTTATAGAACATCAAGCAGATTTAACCCATGTCAGACTACCTAAAGGCATTTAATAATCAAACTCCCAAAGGCCAAGTACAAAGAAAGGACAGCATCTCTGGACACATCCAGGGTCTGGGGGAACTTGCCACCATGAAGAAAAGGGCCTTGGGCAAGGCCCAGTGCCATGCTGGCTTCAGGGCTAACCCAGAACAGTTCCAGTGGTGATGGCCATAGGAGTACTTGCATCAAGTTGGGTGTGGTGGCTCGCACCTGTAACACCTGTAATCTCAGCACTTTGGGAGGCAGAGGTGGGCGAGTCACTTGAGGCCAGGAGTTCAAGACCAGCCTGGCCAACACGGAAAATCCCCATCTCTACTAAAAACATAAAAATTAGCCAGGTGTGGTGGCACACACCCATAATCCTAGGTACTTGGCAGCCTAAGGCACAAGAATTGCTTGAACCTTGGAGACAGAGGTTGCAGTGAGCCAAGATCATGACACAGCCCTCCAGCCTGAGTAACAGAGCAAGACTGTCTCGGGCGGCAGATTTTTCAGTGGAAACCTTACAGGCCAAGAGAGACTGGCATGACATATTTGAAGTACTGATTGAAAAAAAAAAAGCCCACATTTACCCTAGAATAGTATATTCACTGAAATTGTTCTTTAAGCATGAAGGAGAAATAAAGACCTTCTCAGACAAACAAAAGCTGAGGGATTGCATCAACATCAGACCTATCCTATAAGAAGTGTGGAAGGTAGTTCTTCAATATGAAAGAAAAGGATGTTAATGAGAACAAAGAAATTATCTGATGATATAAAACTCACTGGTAACAGTAAGCACACAGAAAAATCCTGAATAGTGTAACACCGTAATTGTGGTATATAAACCTCTCTTGACTTAAGTAGAAAGACTAAACAAGGAACCAATCAAAAATAATAACTAAAAACAAATAAAATAGCTACAACTTTTCAAGACAGACAATAAAATAAGATGTAAGAAGTAACAATGAAAAGTTAAAAAGCAGGAGGATGAAGTTAAAGCGTAAAGTATTAATTTTGCCTTTTGTTTATGCAATCAGTGTTAAGTTATCATCAGTTACAAATAATGGGTTATATTATTTGCAGGCCTCATGGTAACCTCAAATCTAAAAACATACAATGGATATGCACACACAAAAAACAAGAAATTAGAGCACGCCACAAGAGAAAATCAGCTTCACTAAAAGGAAGACAGGAAGGAAAAAAAAAAAAAGACAGCAAAACAACCAGGAAAATAACAAAATGGCAGGAGTAAGTTCCTACTTATCAATAATAATAACTTTGAATGTAAACCAGCTAAACTTTCCAATCAAGACACAGAGTGTCTGAATAGATGAAAAACAAGACCCAATGATATGTTACCTAAAAGAAACACACTTCACCTATAAAGACACGGAAACTGAAAATAAAGAGATGGAAAAAGATATTCCATGCCAATGGAAACCAAAACAGAGCAGGAGTAGCAGGAGCAATACAAAACAGAGTTCAAGACAAAACTGAGGTCAAGACAAAAACTGAGACAAAGACAATGATAAATGGGTCAATTTAGCAAGAAGATATAATGATTGCAAACATATACGCACCCAACACTAGAGCACCCAGATATATTAAGCAAATATTATTAGAGTTAAATACAGACCCCAATATGATAGTAGCTGAAGACTTCAACACCCCACTTTCAGCATTAGACAGAAAATCAACAAAGAAACATTGGACATAATCTGCAGTATAGATCAAATGGATCTAACATACATTTAACAAACATTTCATCTAACAGCTATAGAATACACATTTTTCACCAGGTGTGGTGGCTTATGCCTGTAATCCCAGCACTTTGGGAGGCTGAGGCAGGTGGATCACTTGAGGTCAGGAGTTTGAGACCAGCCTGGCCAACATGGTGAAACGCTTTCTCTACTAAAAATAGAAAAATTAGCGGGGCATGATGGCAGGTACCTGTAATCCCACCTACTCTGGAGGCAGAAGTTGGAGAATCGCTTGAATTGGGTAGGTGGAGGTTACAGTGAACTGAGATTGTGCCATTGCACTCCTGCCCGGGCAACAGACTGAGACCTTGCCTTAAAAAAATAAAAAATAAAATAAAAAAATAAGAACACACATTTTTCTCCTTAGCACATGAATTGTTCTCAAAGATAGACAATATGGGACGGGAGCAGTGGCTAACGCCTGTAATCCTAGCACTTTGGGAGGCCGAGGTGGGTGGATCACTTGATGTTAGAAGTTCGAGACCAGCCTGGCCAACATGGTGAAATCTTGTCTCTACTAAAAATACAAAAATTAGCAGGCATCTTGGTGCACGACTGTAGTCCCAGCTACTAG